GCCTCCCAGGTTATAGCAAAGATCATATGAGATTCTCTATAGAAAACAGCAAGCCCAGAGCCTGGCTGCTTAATAAATGGCAGTACTCCCCTCCTAAGCATCTTATTTTCCCAAATCCCTTCCAACAAAACCCAGTCCCCGCTGTGAGCTGAAGAGAGGTAGTTATTGGGAGCAAAGTGCTATGACTACTTTATGGTTGGGGTGATCACTTATAGTTTCTTCTTGCGTGACCCTTCAGGGCTGTTTGCATTTTAAGAGGAGAGGAATGGCTCTATCTTCTGACCACACCAGTAGATTTTGCTGCAATAGGTTTTGTAGGAAGGCAAGATTTTCTCCACGCAGGTCGGTGGAGCGGAAAGACGGCGGCACAAGAGGCGCAGGTCCTCCTCCCAGCTCTGCTGCTAACTCACCAGAGACACTGGCAAGTTGCTTCCCACATGGAACACACTGACTACAAGTTCTAATACTGGCACCAAGTATTTACCTCCCTGTAAACCGTGTGCCTTGCTGGAATTAAGGCTCCAGGGCATAGAGGGAATGCCCACCTTCTCTTTTGGCTCCAGCCCCCTTTGGGGCTCCTAGGTGGGGCCTGGCTGCCGTTCTTTGTGTCACCCTCGTGGGAAGAGGATTTGACTTCTGTCCCCATCCTGTATTGATCCAGATACATTTCCAGAACCTTCCTAAATCTTTTTTTTTTTTTTCCTGCATAAGGACGGAGGAAGCAGAGGGCATTTTGGATCCCAAGGAGTCGGAAAAGTTAAACTTTAATGAGAAGTGCACTCGCAGCCCACTACTGACCCAGCTCTGGGCGACAGCCGTTCTCGGGTCCCTCTCAGGTTAGGAGCTGCTGGAGCCTGGCACCAGTTGGAGTAACTGGGCTTCTGTCTGTCTGTCTGTCTGGGGTTTGCTGCTGGGTCACAGTGGGGACCGGTGCATCTGGGATCTCAGGTTAAGCAACCAGTGATACTGGATGCAGGCTTGTCTATGGAGTCAAGGTTCTGGACAGGCCTGGGGCAGCTGGGCCAGGTCCTCCCTGTTTCCAGACCACCCTGCTCTGTGGTTGGGTCTGGGATAAATCTTGTTCCTGGAAATTACGTCCTCCTTAAGTCCTGCCCTAGTGCAAGAGCTCAGTATTATTTCTTGGAAACCTAGTTTCTCTTTAAGAAGATATAATTGATGGGCAACTGGAGAGCATCTGGAGCGAGAATTGAGCTGCCCGGATTCGTCTCACTTACTAACTTAACATTGATCACAGCTAACATGGTCTCCTGCCTCCAGGAATTCCCCGAGTGGGAGGGTTCTCAAAGCAGGCTTCCCCCAAGCTAGATGGAAGCTTTCACACTGCCCGTTGTGATATTTTCACAATTCACAGAAAGGTTAGGGTAATGGATTGAATTTTTCTCAGTTTTAATCCTCCCTCCCTGCACGTTATCCCTGAAACGTTAGTACAAGCTATAGCTCATCTTCTCTAGATTCTGGTATCCAATAGTGCCTGATCTGCCAGCAGTCCCATTTAGGTAGTTGTAGGAAACTGCATATCTGATGCTTCCAAGCCTCCAGGAACCGTGTCGCTAGGACAAGTCTGATCTGGAAACTGCAGATATGCCCAACTAGAATGTGGTATGATCAGTGTTAGATGCTAAATGTAGGAACAACATGCTGGGTCTTCATTTTGCCCCTGCCACCAACTTGGTGTGTGACCTCGGGCAACTTGCTTCTCCTCTCTGGTTCTTTTATCTATCAAAGTTAACAGATGAGGGTCTTGGACTAATAATAACTACTGTGGTCATGGCCACAATTTATTGAGCACTTATTAATGCTCGGCACTTTACATGCATCATCTCATTTGATCCTCACATCCACCCTGTGATAAGTCCTATTCTGATCCCCATTTTACAGATGAGGAATCTGAGGCTCAGAGAGTAAATGGCTTATCTGCCAGTGAGTGGTGAGGAAGCCCTTTGCTATGTGGCAGGGCCAGGTTAGGGCTGAGGGTGGGCCTTGGGCAAGTCTGAGAATTCTTTCTGGCAGGCACGGAGGACGTGCGTATCAACAAGAGGACTGTCAGCCCCTTCCTGCAATTGTCAGATGATCAAAGGACCCTGACCTTCAACGCCAAGAAGTCCAAGACCTGTGCAGATGGCCCGGAGCGCTTTGACCACTGGCCCAACGCCCTGGCCACCACTTCCTTCCAGGCTGGGCTACATGCCTGGACGGTGAACGTCGAGAACAGTTGTGCCTACAAGGTGGGTGTGGCCTTAGGCCAGCTGCCCCGCAAGGGCTCTGGCAGTGACTCTCGTCTGGGCTACAATGCCTTCTCCTGGGTCTTCTCCCGCTATGACCAGGAGTTCCGTTTCTCACACGATGGGCAGCATGAGCCCCTGGCACTGCTGCGCTGCCCAGCTCAGCTGGGGGTGCTGCTGGACTTGCAGGCACAGGAGCTGCTATTCTACGAGCCAGCCTCGGGCACGGTGCTCCACACCCACCACGCGTCCTTCCCTGGGCCCCTCTTCCCAGTCTTTGCTGTGGCTGACCAGACCATTTCCATCGTCCGCTGACCTTTGGCCATCGGGAGACCAGGTCTACCTCCCCACCACCCTTTCAGGCCACGTTTCTACCCAGCGTCTTTTTCCCAGATGTTGCCTGTGCCCAATGGGCAGCTTTTAGGAGGGGTTCTGGGTACAACCATTAAAAGCCGGGTATCTGTGGGGAACCTGCTACTCCCTGGGCCTTGGTTTCCCAAATGCACTGTGCATCTGCCCCTCTGAGGGTGTCTTGTTCGCCACTTTATCTCTGGCATCCAGCATGGTGCCTGGTGCATAGTGAGCGTGCGATAAATATTTGGCCAGCAAGTGGACGTATGGATGGATGGATGGTGGATGGATGGATGGATGGATGGACAGGTGACTGGATGCACGTGGTAGACTCTCCTGGAGCAGCACTGCCCCCAGTAGATGCTGTTCTCTGGCAGAAAAGCCTGTGGCTCAAGCTCTGTCATCCCCTCAGTTCAGTGTTTCTCAGTCCTTTTCATGACATGGCATACAGAGGAAATATTTTTCTAGCACAAGGACAACCTGGAAGAGATTTAGAACTCCTGCCAGGCTGCTGTTGGCCAGAGGACTCCGGCCTGTAGGGCTGTGTCCTCACCCAGGTTTTGCATAGCCACTGGGAAGACTGAGGGGACCCTGTCTCCAGGTAGCCTGGCTGCAGCACACCCATTGGCAGTGCTGCCTTGGACTAGGCAGGGCTCCAGCCAGCACCCACCCGTGGCAACAGGGATGAGCTTTTTCCCCAACTGCAGCTGATGCGTGCTCCCAACTAATGCCATCTCTAACATAATGTGGGAACCAGGGTGAGGCCTTCAAGCCAGAAAGGGCTGAGGGAGTAAGAGGGCCAGCCTTAGGGAACATGTACATTATTAAAGGTTTTCAAAGACTGAAAATTTCTTCCATGTTCTTTGTTGGTAATTGGGCAAATCTCCCAGGTGCCAGCTCAGATCTTAGTGGTATGTTTGCTGGGAAAGGGATATCTTCCTCACCCCCATCCACATTTTCAGGTATAGGTGGGAGGCATCTCAGCATACACAGCTGAAAGAGCCTGGAGACAGGGTTCTGTGCCCTGCATTGCAGGGACCAAGGGCAAGTCCCTTCCTGTCCTCTGAGGAGGTCACTTTAGAACAGTGGTCCTCCCATTTTGTTTCATCTGGGAACACAGTTCAAAGGCAATCTTACCTGCAACTTACCTATAAGGCTCTTGGGCTCAAAGATGGGGGCCAGAGGGCTTCCCTGGTGGCGCAGTGGTTGAGGGTCCGCCTGCCGATGCAGGGGACACGGGTTCGTGCCCCGGTCCGGGAAGATCCCACGTGCCGCGGAGCAGCTGGGCCCGTGAGCCATGGCCGCTGAGCCTGTGCGTCCAGAGCCTGTGCTCCGCAACGGGAGAGCCCACAACAGTGAGAGGCCCACGCCCATGCCATGGCCGCTGAGCCTGTGCGTCCAGAGCCTGTGCTCCGCAACGGGAGAGCCCACAACAGTGAGAGGCCCACGTACCGCAAAACAAAACAAAAACAAAAGCAAAGATGGGGGCCAGAGCCCTCCCCACTCTTGAGTTTGCTCAATAATTTACTTGAAACACCGGGTGGATCAAATCAACTTTTTCAGTTGACATGACTTCTGAGGCCCTTGCAGCTCTGAAACCACAGCTCATGACCCATCTCCTCACTGCCTGACAGTTGGGAATTAATGTTGGGTCACCTGGCCTCAGCACCAAGCCCAAGGAAGACAGACCCACAAGAGGTTTGGCCAAGTCTGAGAAGAGCTTCCCTGCCTTTGCCTGGGCACAGTCTCTGTTCAAACGTGGGTCAAAGCCAATTTCTTCTACTTGGCACCCAAAGGCCCCCAGGCCATGCTCCCCCAACCACCAGTCTAACTCCCCACAGCAGTCTTCAGTCCACAGTTTGTGGGCCT